TCACGTGAGAGTGTGGTTGTCAAGTGCTGACTTAATCTCAGTAAACTGCAGTAAGATTTTAATGAAAGAAGGCAAAGCCCAGGTGAAACTAATCACCTTTAAAATATGTTATTAATTCCACCTGTGCTTGACACCATATCTTCTTCCTCCTATTAGCTTTTATATTCTTTGACTTGGTGAATTACGGCATTTTTAGCTAGCTATTACAGCCCTTGGTTGCATAGTGTGGGACTAGCTACTCTCCTTATGGTGGCTGTGGTTTCCAGATTTGAATGACATTACTACAGGCTAAAAGCAGGTCTTCAGCAATGTTACTGAAAAACAGTAGATAAGTTAGGAAGCCACTGAAAAATTACCCTGAAATCATGTTACAAACTGCATAAAAGCCATGGACTGTCAATATTTTTGTTGCCCCCCATGTTTAAAACCAAAACCAACACACAAAAAAATTGTAGTGTGTCTTTGTTTTGACCCCCCCCCCCTCACCCCCCAGGGTTCTTCTTGGTAAAATGTAGTTCTTCCTTCCCATTGTCACCAAATGCTCACTCATAGGGGGGTCATTTGATTGTTGAAGTTTTGTCTGTGTTATTGTAGGATATTTACCTTACAATATAAAGCACCTTGAGGCGACTGTTGTGCTTTTCTTGGAATATAAGTAAAACTGAATTAAAAAGAAGGTGGCTTTAATATAACTGGGAAACTGGTCTTGTGAAACATCACTGCCTACCTAATAATGAGATGAGAACAGGAAGATGAGAGAAATTCATCTAAACTCATGATTTGTTCTTTTATTTTATTGTAGTTTAGTTTTTTTCTTTTGGTCACGTTTATAAAGTTGATCCCGTCCCTTTAATATTTCGGGCTGTATTAGCCCAGAAGGAAGTCAGAAATGAGGCTTTGCTATGAGAGCACACCTAAGGCTGTTTGATGTTCAGTCTGTCCGCCCCTCTGCTGTTTGTAATACTGTGAAATGAACGTTGTGTTTTTCCCACTCATCTCATCCCATCCAGGTCAGATCCACCAGAGGGAGCAGGAGATTGCAGAGCTGAAGCAGAAGATAGCAGAGGTGATGGCAGTGATGCCCAGCCTGTCCTACTCGTCAGATGGCAGCAACCTGAGCCCCGTGACCCCGCACTACTCCTCCAAGTTCATGGACAATAGTCCCTCCTCCCTGGACCCCAACGCCTCAGTTTACCAGCCCCTTAAAAAGTGACTCTGACATCCACGTTTGTCAGACGGGACTTTTCCTTTATTTTGATCTCAGTTCTGGTTTCGGGTTATTTTACATTATTTTCAAGCTTACAAAGCCCCGGAAAGTTTTTGCACTTTCAACACGCACACACAGACACACACAGCCCCTCCATACATCTGGGTATTCGCTCTGGGTGTTTTTTATTTGGGTTTTTTGTCCTATTTATTTTAGGGGGGGGGGGTTGAATTTTGCTTGTTTGTTCATTTTGGGTTGTTTTTAGTTTTGAGGGTGTGTTGTTTTATTTGGATTTAGCCATCGGACAGCGCGATCTGTTTGAAGGTTGGAGAAAGGAACAAACATTGTTTGGCCAAATGTACTGAAGAGCCATCATGCATCGCTTCGTGTCAGTCTTCTTTTAGTGTAAAGCGTGAACCTCCCTCACAGGCATATATTTCTTTCTCTCTCTCTCTTTGTCGTCTGGATTAAACTGACAGACAGGCTTTTAGTTTAAGAAGAATTAGCTTCTTTTTTTTCTTTCCATGATGGTTTGTAGATGACAGAAGGCATACTTTCAGTGCAGATGTGAATTCGAAGCTCACCTGTAAAGTAAAGCCCTGTGAGAGATACATGAATGTAATACTGTTCATGTTTTGATATCAGCATTAACATAAATCAGTGATTGTTTGTTTCGGGTTTTTTGTAATATTTCAGTTCAGTCACGCCGATGTACATTTCTTCTGATTTAGTGATACTGAACAGATGATCATTTGCTGTGTTTCTCGGATACACTTTTAGTCTCTCAATGCTGGAATAGCGGTTTCTCCAGGATTATCAGTAAGTGGATGAAGCAGATGTAGACTACTACTCCTTGATTGGACGTGGCACTGCCGAAAAAAAGAAAAATGTTCCATCAACATTCAGTTGTTTGCTGCAGACACCTCTCTTCTTCTTCTCCCTTCTGGACCAAATTAGAACCGGTTAAGGCCATATCATTCGCTGGATTTAATGATGTCGAGGTAACCACCCCGCCCCTCCCGTTACCTTTATTTGGGGATCTCACAGTGCCTTGCAGTTTCTCTTTTTCAAAAAAAATGCAGAAAATACATACTTTGCAATCCTGGGATCTAAAAGCTTCAAACCTGTTTTCTCTCTCTTTATCCTGTTCATCCACTCACACGCGTTCATCAGTATTCAAAAGCTAAACCGATTACGTGTCATATCGCAGCTAATTGACCAGCTGCGAATTTAAAGAGAAAGCCTAACTCTGGTACATGGTACGCATCGTTTCACGGTGACACAGTCTTGGTATGCCAAACACCAAACCAAACTGATTGTCTTGCCCTCTTGCCGGCATTTTGTTGTTTACAGCGATGTACATTGACTTATTGAGGAATGTTTTCTTTCTTTCGTTGGGGTTCTTAAGTGCCAAGTGTTGCCATTCTGTTTCCATCCATACTTCGATTGATGTAGCTAGCATAATGTTTGCAGGAAAAAAAAAAAGAGTGCTGTTATGTTTTTGTTTTGTTTTTTGGTTTTGTTTTGTTTTTTTGTCAGTAGAACATATTCGGATAGTGTTGTGTTTACAAAAGGTTCCGGGCCGATCATGATGAAGCAGCAGAAGCAGATGGTCAGTCGGACTGCTCGTGTTATTCGCACATTTATTTATTTGTGACAGCCTTTTTTTTCCCTTCTTTTTTAAATTGAGTGACACTTCTTTGATATTTCCCATCACGATCAGTTGGTTTCCAGTGTTTTCTAACCAGGAAGGATTGTGTGAATGTGTCGTGTTGGGAAAAGGTTACCCCTGAACCATTTGACCATGTTGTGATGTCATGTTGCCTACCTGGGGGGAAAAAAAAAAAAAAAGAAAAAAAAAAAAGTATTGTTTGTGGATCGCTCTGGCGTTGTGAATTCAGTTCTCAAGTTGCTTTTACAAGTTTGTGTAGAAGGAAGAGAAGGTTTAAAAAAGTGCTTTGTTTTATCTTTTTATTGCTCCACCATGTTTTTGTTTTCTTTACTCAAAGTGATGGTGGCTGTGTCACACTTTTCACTTTGGTCATCACTATTAAAGAAAGTCTTGCTGGTGGCAACGCAAAGCTGTTGAGTCTGTGTACGCGTCATGTTCTGTGTGTGGACTTTCACAGGCCTTTTACATAAAACTTATCACAACATGGGGACAGTGTGATCTGCAGAATTTGCAGAGTAAACAAGAAAACGTACCAGTCAATATTCTCAAGGAAAATATCGAAACTTGTGAGACTTGTAATTTGTATGTGCTGTTTTCTATTCACACTCATTTAAAGCAGTAGCTTGAGCTTGCTGACACCTCCCAAACCTTTAATCTGGGTTTATATGTTTTGTTCATGTTGTTATGTCTAAACTTAGACAAAAAACACATGCCCTATAATTCAATGGTGATTTCAGGTGCTATTTGTAAATGCCTACTCTGTTTTTTTTTTTTTTGTTTTTTTTTTGTTTTTTCTCCCCCCCCCTCCCACGTAACCTGATATAAGCTTCATTCACTCATAAGGTAGACCAGGGGGGTCAAACATAAGGCCCAGAATTAGGCAAAGACTCCAATTCAGCCCTGCTGCACAACTTTGGAAAATGCGAAGGAGGTTATTCATGGTACTCCAAAGTAATTAGGTAATTTTTTTTTTTAAATAATGATGGAAATGTTCCTTTTCTCCACCATCTACTACATAGATTTGTTTTGAGTTTTGTTTTTTTTAATAAATGGAAATAATAATGGATACAAAGGAAATACGCTCTGTATCCATTGCACACAATACAATGTATACAATCAATTTATAAGTGCATATATATTTTTAAGAGTTGTGCTGAGAGATTTCATTACTAGAGCAACATTTCTTTATCCTGCAGAGAAAACAGACGATGTTAAGGTTACACTTCTTACGGTGGCCCTGAGAGGCCAAATGGACTGCAACTTAAGAAAACACCAGCAATAAGCAAAACGCTGAAAAAGCACACAAAACACAGCGGAAATAGGAACAACGAAAACAGAAATAGGAAAGAAAAAAAAAACAGAAACTACTTCTTCTTATCATCATCTTAAGATATGTCAAGAATGAAATCTGTAATTGCTTCAGTTTTAGTGAATGAAATTCTAGAGATTTACTTGTCTGTTATTTAGCACTGATTAGCAGACGTGCCTGTCTATTGTGCCTGTACAGTTTATAAATGCATTTTGCTAACCAAGTTGTTATACGGGCAGTCTGCCAATTCTGGGTTTATACTGTAAGAGCATTCTTTAAAATTGTGTCCTGAAAGCTATAGTTGAGGTTCTGATTTGGTCATATTTATGTGGCTCTTCCATATGAATCGTCTCTTCTTTTTTAAATGATTTATTTAGCATCCTTTCAGATACCACGTAATGTCCCATGTAACTCAAATGCAGCACCACTCCTCTGTTCGGCTAGTAAAGTCAGTGTTGTGCAAAAAATGATTGCTCGTATTTAAATTTCTATATATAAGTTTTTGTGTCTATAATATGTGAAACCTGTGAAATGATATCAAGTCATCTTGAGCCACAATCAACATTCCTGTAACAAGGTAGAAGCCGGAGTTAAAAAAAACAAACCTCGTTGACATTAAAGATATTTTTTGGCCTAAGAGGACAGCAGAAATTGCAACAAATATAACAATAGTTGTGTAAACATATTTTAAGTGCACAAAAAGGACCGGATTGGTTATAATGTAAGTACAATAACACAGAGTTATGAAGATACTTGAAAAACAGGTAATTTTAATTTTATATATAACCCCTTTGTAGGAAAAATATTACATATAAGAAACACACGGAAAGTTTTTGGCAGGCGATGACTTTTTGACACAACACCGGGATTTCTGACTGCACTGGAAGGCACCACAGGTCCATCCTCTCTCCCCATCAGCAGTCCGGTCAACATTTCTCCTGGAACACTTCGGGGAACTTCACCGACTCTCTGCACTTCAACACACCGACATGGATGCCCTCAAGTCTGCTGGAAGAGCTATTATCCGGAGCCCAAGTATGGCGAAACAGTCGTGGAGTGCCAGCAAACACAGAAGTAAGAAATATTCGTTAAATTAGCTAAAGGAAAATTAAAAAAACATAAAAATAAAAGGTAATACCTTCTTCTTTTTTACCGTTAGCAACAAATTTAAAATTCCGCCTAGCCGGAGTTTACTTTGCCTGTACCCAATTTACCTTTTTTTTCTGTGACAAATAGTGATTAATTAAGACATTTATAGGTTAAATTGACCAAACTTTGTTTTTTGTTTCACAAACGACGTATTGTGCTGTCGGCTGCCACAGCGGGTGGTAAAGAAGGAGTTTGACTTCTCTTTTTTTTCTTTAGCTTGAGCAGTTACGTCTCTTTTTGTCAAAGGAGGGTAAAGGTAAATAGTTTCTCCCGCTTAGTGTTTCTGTTCTGGGGAAACATACAGCGGTTTTTTTTTTTGGTTTTTTTTGCGGAGGCTGAGTAACTGTTTGCAATGCGGTTTATCATGGTGCAGGAATTTTCCGGGAATTCAAGTTATTTTAAAATGAACCACAACAACAAAACTAATTAGAAGTTTTATTTCTAATTTGTGCCATTTCTCGTGGATTATTCACGTGTTTCAAGACTGATTTTTGTGTGTTTCTCACGGTCTTTTACTCAGGTGGGAATTACACCAACTACTTCTTTTGCTTTGTGTTTCGCTAACTAAAAAGGTATTTTTGGATTTCTTGATAATCCCACCTCCCTCTTTCCGCCAACCCTGCCAGAGGAAGTTCAGAGGTCATCGTCAGCACGAGATCTTATTATATTTATATTTCCCCCATTGTATGTTGCTGAAGAGCACTTTGCCAGGGCAGGAGCAGTCACATGCAGCAGCATTAACATAAAGCTCCTTTAAGAAGGAATTGGCACCCATTGTAGGACTCAAGGGCCACTTTGTAAGCTAAATCTCACTTGATCCTGCCTGTGAAGTTGTGGGGTGGGGGGAATGACCGTGTGGCTTCCAAAGCATGAAAAGTCCACAGCCTGTAACCAAGAGGACAAGCCAGGAATGCTGTGGGGCGAGTCTGTGCACTGCCCCTGTTGGCTTCAAGTCATACTGCTGCTCTTTTGTTTTCCTTTTTTCTTTTTAAATTCCAGAAAGGCTACTGTCACATCTGCAGAGACATTAGAGAGTGACAGGGTGGATAACATAAACACACTGCATTGTTGTGTGTAACCTTAGTTGCTCACCAGGGAAAAGGCAACGCCGTAGAAATTAGAGATGGACACTTCCATATTATGCCTGCACATTACTGCGTTAATGGATGAGGCCGAGATGTTAATCTTACATCTTCCCAGCTGTCAGTGGAGAGGTGATATCTGGCTGTATTACATCTGGCAGACACTTTCCACAGTGCGAGTTTCTTCTGCCTGAGTTGTTTGTATGTCTGTGGCAGCCGTTCCGACTGGAAGTGGGCTATTCTGATTGTTCGTGGAATTAACGGCTTCCTGTAAATGTGGCTACTGACCCACTTGTCGTAGAAGTAGAGTATTGAAGTTTGGTCATAGATTACCTGGCTGCAGGGCACGCATTCTTCACCAGCACTGACCCATATCATTCATGCTGGATTTTTAGGTCTGACGTTGCCTTCGTCAGAATCGTCCTACATTTCCATGTACTCGGGGTAGGGATTACTTTGGGTCAGGTGAATGCAGTACAGGGCTTGAGCACCTGAGGACCCAGGCATCATTTCCATTAATGAGACTGTATTACAAACTGTACATAAAAAGATGGTCATAGTTACTGTGACTTCACCAGTTGGTTTTAGGATACTGGTAGTTCAGCTGCTGCCGTGATGTTTTTTTTGTTTTTGTTTTTTTAATTATTATTTTATAGGCTAAAAGGGTGTCAATAGAGGAATCGATTAACTCAGCATGCATTGCGTTCTTGCTGTTGATTTTTTTTTTAGGTACTCTATTATATTTGTTAACCTGTCATATGTCAATCACCAGTAACCTTCTCTGTCATTGGTACTCGCTTGCCTTTAGTACAGGGTGTATCAAAAAGAATGATCAGATTTCAGAGTGCCGATTGAAAGGCATGCTGTTAGAAAGAGCGGATTCGTGAGTTTCCCATGGATGCCAGTAGGTAGAGTAACAACAGCAGTGGCTGCAGTGACTCCAGACAGCTTGACTATCATCTGGACATGTGCCATACATATCCGGGGGGCGCACCTTAAGTGCTTGCCGAACATTGTAAGTGTCGTATGTAAAACTTTACATTCAGCCATGTATTTGAAAATTTTAGGTTTCTGTGACCATTACTTTAAAAAAAAAAAAAAGCTTTTTGTAATCGGATGATTAATTTAGATGGACCGTGTATAGAAAAGTTGTGATCCACCTATGTCACGTCACTTGTATGCCTCTTTGCATATTCTGTTTTCTCACCATAAGTTTGTGTTAGGAGAAATACATTCATCTTATCTAGCTAAGACTTCATCTTCTCTGTTCTTTTGCCCTGGCTTAGACGGCCTATGCCAACAGTGTTAAGGGGACCCCCAAAGTTTATTTGTTTGTGTTGAAGAGCCCTTTTTCCAGGATCCTCTCCAACAGGTGCCACTCTTTAGCTCTGACTAGTTTTCTCTGCAGCTGTATTTCTGTGGTTGCTCTAAACTGGCTGTAATGGACTTTTTGATGAATAAATATGACTTGTATTAAAATCATCCGGAACGCCATGAGGCTGAAGTTGGAGATTCAGCATGTGGCATTTGATGTGAATGCAACGGCGCTGATCAGTTGTGCTGCATTTCTTTTAGCGGTGATGCTTGCATTTAAAAATCCATGGCTCCTTTTTCCTTTACAATGTTACTGTCTGTCTTCCATGAAATCCCAAACTGCTATGGCAGGTTCTGCACCACATTTATGTAATTATTTAAATTTTATTATATTTTATTCTACTATGATATATTTAATGGCTAAACTTTACCCGTTAGCTGTTTAACTGTTATGCTAGCGGCTATGGCTAGTAATAAAACAGTAACATTAATGCTAGAGCTGCACAGCCAGCGTCATCAGTCCTGCCTGTGACTAATGTTACTAGACTGTGTTATTTTAACAGGATAAACAATTTAATGGTCTGTAAAAAGAGTTAGGTTTCTCTTAAAGTCTCAAAATGAAGCTGAAAAAAAGTCTGTCATCAACTAGATGGAAAACAGTAGCAACCTACTGTACCACTCTATTTGACCTGCAACGAACATATGGGAACGTCAGCAGAAGCACAACACTACAGCCTGAAAGTAATGTTGTTGTTTTGTTGTTGTTGTTTTTTTTAAGCTACCTGACAATCTTAAAATATTTGTCATACACATTTACCTAAAAGTAATGATACTGTATTATTTTGCAATAGTTAGACAATTTAAAAATGCTCTCTTCGATGATGTTTTTTGTATTATACTACTTTTTTAATGTAAAATTTTAATTAAAAAATATGTCTCATCAATTTATCACAGTTTTCCCCATTTATTTCAAAATGGTATTGCATATTTTCCTGTGTATGAATTTTCGTGATGACAGTCTGCCAACCTGACCACTGCAGAACTGTGTTTGAGACATAAGCAACAATGGATGTTGAGCCAGTCTAACACTTCTGTTTGAAGTGACATCTTCTTGGGACAGTATCTCACCTGAATGCAGTTTTTCAGAATCTTGTTTAAAGTCAGGTTTAACATATGACAGCTTTACAGGCAGTAGCTGACTTTTTTGAATTTTTTATTTTATTTTATTCATGTTCCACTTGACTGAAGTGGACAGAACCCGATTGGTCCATTTTGTCGAAAAAAGTTTAACGAACCACAGAGAAGGTTGATAGCCACCGCTGTGATGCCTGTTACCTCTCATAGAGGGTTTAGGTTTTGTTGAGCAAAGCTAATGCAAAGAAAGCCTTGCTATGTGGCTAAGTCTGCTTCATACACTCTTCAGATGAAGGCAACCCTGTTTGTTAATGTGAGCGTAGCCCACCAATCAGAAGGTTGTCCTTCACTGTGAGCTTATACACAAGAACCACTTCTACTCCACAGCACCCTCAGGATTGAAACTCTCTGTATAATATAAGTACTTAAATTAAAAGAATTATGTCGCACTTTTCATAGGTAAAAATCATAAAAAGTTTCACAATAAAACACAAATGTGTACAATCTATCATAACAGTGGAAAGCAAATATGTATTTATATATGTTATCATAATCCTGCTTGTGACCACTTAGCTGCTGTATGAAGAGCAGACTGCTGCTGTTGTATACAGGAAGCGTCTCTTTCTGATTTTACAATGTGATCCTCTCAAAATAAAATCAAATGAACATGCTTCTCCATAGCTGCCCTATTATGGGAGAAACAATGTGTGACTATTTGAGCCAAATGTGTGTAACTGGTTTAGGAACTGGCCAATGTAACAGACGGGAAGCTGAACAAACTCATTAGGAGGGGTGTGTCCTCAATGTGTAGTGGGCTTCCCCCCCTCCCCCCCCCTTTAACCATGAAGAAGCATTGCTTTTCTGAAAGCGATGAGAATGCAGTAGGACTAAAAATTTATCTCACCTTATTTTGTCTAGGTTTAAAGACCTTGCTTGGCACATCAGGTCTTTCACTGATAAACATTTCAGATGCATTCTGCCCCTAATTTACTTGACTTTGCATCTGCAGAGACTTCCAAATTGACACACTCTCACTAATGTGTTTACGTTTTCCCCACATTATTAGAATCCCAAACATAAACTCTGGTGAATTTGGGACTCTGTGCATAATAATTTGAGAGGCGTGCAGGCGTAGATCAGTGAAGGAGGGAGGAAAGTGAAAAGGCAGCAGAGGCTGAGAAAAAGATAATTTGGCACTGGAGGAGTCCAGAGTTGTAGGACCACAGTTGGTGGTTTCCCCAGTGATCCAGTGTTTGTTGTAGACACACAAATCAGCCAGGATGCAAATTGCCTTTCAGTTGGACCTTTCTGGATCAGCACCATTCTTGTCACAGTTTGCAACTAAGAGTTATTTTGCACTCTGACAAATTAAATGGCTACTCATCCATCAGTGTTGGATGTAATGGATATCTATAGAGCTGAAAACTGAGGCTCTGTCTTCCAATTTTTTCTCCTCTTTTTCTTATCTTTCTCACATTATACCAAGACACTTCCCCCAATACTACAGTGAGAAACCAGTAAGTGATTATTTGCCACATACGGGTGTGATGTTAGTAGCAGGTCACCTGGTTTTTCTTGTTCTCAGTTGACTCGTGCACACAGCTGTTTCCTTTGACGTATAACGGTTGCTGACCTTTTATCCTCAAAGCCTTCTGCATTCTTGGGCTGATTGGTGCCTGGTACAGTCTCTGCTGCTGGTGAAACAAACTGAAAACCAGAAAAGGTTCTTTATTACAAGCTCAATATTAGCTCTCCAACACTGTCAGTGGAAAACATGCACTGAAACCTGCGTCAGTGAACCACTAAAAGGATCCATTTCTTCTTTGTGTAAATTAAATGTTTTGATTTCTAAAATGGAAAACATTAATATCTGCAGTTACTAGCATTACATTTGTTACGTTTTCCACTCACTATAATTTATTCCTTAATGTAACACATTTATAGGAGGCAGTCGTGGATACAGAGAAAGGATTTTCTCAGTAATCAGTGTGTTGTAGACTTTTTGACCTGGTTACATTTCAACATAGGTTTCAAAGACTCCCTGATTCCACTTCTCTCATAAAATGAGCGAAACATGAAATGTTTACCAAAAGAGAAGCTGAACTTATTTGTTATGAAAATTAAATTTTTCAGCTATTTCCAGGTGGCCTATTATGCTTTTGTATATTATTGTTTTCTGACTGTGATGGACGCTCACATTAAATGGGGTCAGCGTTTGTACAAGCTCAGTTTTTCTTTCTACACTTAGCTCTGTGTGATGCAAAAGATTGGGAGCGTTCTTCATATGATCAGCTGCTTTACACATAGATTGAATAGGCCTCCTCTTGGCCACTCTTATAACAACCAATTGCGTCAGGAACGTTACAGAGTAGGTATGCTGAAAAGTAATAATAATCAATTTTTATTTGAAAGCGCCTTTCAAACTTTCACTTAACAATAGAATAAAATACATTATAGAACAATGAATACGAAGAAAAATAAGAAAACAAAAGCACAAGGTAAAATAAATAAATAAACAAACAGTGTCTTCTGTCTGCTCTTGGAACGTCCTCTAGCCTGTGTTCCAGCTGTTTTGAGGCCTCAGAGGTGATGATTAAGTGATATTTTGACAGCGTGCCCTGACAGCTTTAGTTGCTTACACAAATCGACTTGACTTGATGGTGTTTGCTGGTATTGATGACTGAGGCTACCTGCCTTTGCCTTCAGCACCTTGGTATGGCTATCCCCCAGAGCCTTTGGGCAGCTGCTGAGAAGATGTTCCAAAGAGCCTCTTCCAGAGCAAAGGGTGCAGGAGGGTTTCTCACTCTTTCACCAAACTTCATGCACTGCCTGCACCAGGAACAGGACCCACTTTGAGTCTGCATGCATGATGTTTCCCCAGGCGATCCTGTACTGCAGGGTACCTCCCATCTTGTTCATGCTCCTCGTTGCCAGAGCCCCAGTGTTCTGTCAATTTCCTCTTCCTCTACACCTGCTAGGATGTCTTCCTAGAGTCGGTGGTGTTCCTCCTTGAGTTTTGCTTTGTTGACGTGGGTCTGAAGTGGGAACTAGTTAACCCAAATTCACTCTACTTATCACCATGGTGCCCACCAGTGCCTTTTGTCTCAGGCGTGATTCTGCTTTCCCAACTTTGGATCTCTTGGCACTGTTAACATAAACTCCAGCTGATGATGCTCTGCAGTCCCTGTACTTAAACGCTTTGTTTGATTATTTTGTAGCCGATATTGTTACTATAAATAACGGCCTGATGATAACGATGATGATGATATCTGACGCTTTCACATGTGCTTTGGCTGTGTTAATATGAACACCTGTTTTTATAACAGTGTACATGTGACGGAAAATCACATTGAGTTTCCTTCTAAGACTTTAAGATCTTAAGATCTCTTGGTCCAGTTTGTGTAGTCTGCATTCAAAATGTATGTATGTGAATATGTACCAGCATGACTGTGTGGTATGTACTACATCCCACGAGGGGGAAATGCTAGGAGCGTGAAATTCTAGGTAATAATGGTGGATTGAGTTTTTTCCCCCCTTCCTGTCAACCCCCCCCCTTTTTTTTTTTTTCTCTGATGAAAGTGCAAACAGTATTACAGGTTCAGGGTCGGCCAGCGCCACACAAAACCTGATAAGAAATCACACAGAGGTAGAAGCTGTTCCTTCAGTAGTTACACTTTAAACAGTCTTTTTCAGAGAAATTTTAAAAATGGAGACAGTAATGCACTTTGAGAACGACACATGATTCATGCTGTTGGAGAGATCGCTGATGTTACCACGCTTTCCTCTTATCACAGCGTGTCACAGTGCATGTACAACTTGCTCCAATCTCTTCATGATTTTTATTGTCGAGCCCTATAAGCTATTTGGAAGATGAAATATTTACTTTACGCCTCAGCACCTCTGACCTAGATACCCTGTTTTGCCTTTCCTCTTCAGCGAGGGAGCACATGAAGTGGGCCAACTCTAAGTTCAACACAGACTGTTTACATTTCTTCTGATTTGTGTTTTTCTCAAAGTCTTTGAATGTTGCACGAGCCTTATTTATTTTGGAACATGAACCCTGGGAAAAAGCAGATAAATATTTGATGTTTGCAACGCTTGATGTTTGACAAGAACGTCGTTACAGTTGATCAGAGTATCGGCCGCTCCCGCTCTTCTCCGCAGAGCTCCCAGAGAACTGGACAGACACACGGGAGACCATCTTAGAGGGCATGACCTTTAATCTTCGACATCTTGGCATGACACTGGTGGACCAACCCAAAGGAGAGGAGCTGTCAGCAGCTGCTGTAAAGAGGATTGTTGCCACGGTCAGAGATCGCTCATTCACAGTTTACATTATCTCCACTTTTGACTGCTCTGCTTTGATTTCCTGCCAAAATCAACAACAGCAGTGTAAGAAAAACAATCCAGTGGCTTTTAAGACTACCGCTTTAATTATTATCATTATTTTTTTCTTAAAATAGAACATCTAAAATTGTTAAGCTCTCTTAAATTTCACAAACATACTGACATTAAGGCTTTCATCATGTCCTCACCACCGTCTGCATGTTTATAAACTCTGGATCAAATTTAGTTTAAAGTTGCTCTCTGTATCTTACTGTGCCTTTTTCCATACATCCTCGCACTAAATCCTGATAAATAGTAAATGCAGGGTTTTTTGAAAGTGTCTGGTGATTAATAATGTACAATGTTGTCTCTAGCGTACCACCGGAAATAGACATTGTAGAAGAGCTGAGTAGTATGTAAGCAGTGTGCGGACGTTTTGCATTTCGGTCATAAAACAATCATCAGTTTCCGCTGCGTTATTTTCCCCATGACAGGCTAAAGCCAGTGGGAAGAAACCTCAGAAGGTCACTCTTAAGGTTTCTCCTCAGGGAATTGTCCTGCATGACAGCTCAACAAATAAACTCCTGGAAAACGTGTCCATATACAGGTATGTGTAGAATGACTGGTTTTGTAATTTTATTTCATCACTTAAGTAATTTGAAATAGATTCTCCTTGGTGGGTGTCATTGAAACCAAAAAGTCACATATGAAAGTCTCAGACGGGTTCCAGTGTCAGTACCGTGACCTAAAGGTCCAGTATAGGGGTGTGTACTAGGAGGCTGAGGGGTTGCCAGTGTTTACTCATTTTTAAAAAAATCAACATTGTATTAATCTTTGACAAAAACATACTAACACGGCAGGTCAATCCGTCTTCAACTGTTTTTTTTTTTTAGTCTTTCTGTGTAAATCTCATTCTTGCTTCTGGAAAGTTTGAGCGTATTTGTGCTGTCAAAAAAAAAAAAGCGTTGGATCTCTGTACGCTGTTTGTCTAACCTGTTGTCTCTGGTCTGCAGGATATCCTACTGCACGGTGGATAAACTACACGATAAAGTCTTTGCTTATATCGCACAAAACACCCTGAATGGAACCCTGGAGTGCAACGCCTACCTCTGCTCAAAGAGGAAAGTGGTGAGTTTAGAGCATGTACACTACCAGTCAAAAGTCTGGACACACCTTCTCATTTAATGGCTTTTCTTTATTTTCATGACTATTTACATTGTAGACTCTCACTGAAGGCATCAAAACTATGAATGAACACATATGGAATTATTTTGTAAACAAAGTGTGAAATAACTCAAAACATGTTTAATATTTTAGATTCCTCAAAATAGCCCCTTCGCTTTGATTACTGCTTTGCACACTCTTGGCGTTCTCTCCATGAGCTTCATGAGGGAGTCATCTGAAATGGTTTTCCAACAGTCTTGAAGGATTTGCCAGAGATGCTGAGCACTTGTTGGCCCTTTTGCCTTCACTCTGCGCTCCATCTCATCCCAAACCATCTCGACTGGGTTTAGATCAGGTGACCGTGGAGGCCATCTGGTGCAGCACTCCATCACTCTCCTTCTTGGTTAAATAGACCTTACTCAGCCTGGAGGTGTGTTTGGGGTCATTCTCCTGTTGAAAGATAAGTGGTGGTCCAACTCAACGCAAACTGGATGGGATGGCATGGATGCTGTGGTAGCCATGCTGCTTCAGTGAGCCTTCAATTTTGAATAAATCCCACAACACTGTCAGCAGCAAAGCACCCCCACACCATCACACCTCCTCCTCCATGCTTCACATGGTGGGAACCTTTCACGTAGAGACCATCCATTCACCTTTTCTGCATCGCACAAAGACACTGCAGGTGGAACCAAAGATCTCAAATTTGGACTCATCAGACAAAAGCACAGATTTCCACTGGTCTAATGTCCACTCCTTGTGTTTCTTGGACCAAACAAATCTCCTCTGCTTGTTGCTTTTCCTTAGTCGTGGTTTCCTAGTAGCTATTTGAACACAAAGGCCTGATTTGTGCAGTCTTCTCTGAGCAGTTGATGTAGAGATGTGTCTGCTGCTGGATCTTTGTGTGGCATTTATCTGGGCCCTAATCTGAGTGGCTGTTAACTTGTGATTTCTGAGGCTGGTGATGACTCAGATGAATTTATTCTGGGCTGGGCAGTCATCATGTGAACTAGTTTCATTGTCGTGCTTGGTTGATGATTTTTGCGACTGCACACATTGAAAGTTTTAGCAATATTCCAGGCTGACTGACCTTCAGTGCTTAAAGTAATGATGGACTTTCACTTCTCTTTACTTAGCTGATTGGTTCCCAACCCCATAAACAAGGCAAGAAATTCCACAAATGAACCCTGACATGGCACACCTGTGAGGTGAAAACCATTTCAGGTGACTACATCATGAAGGCCAAATGTTTGCACCGTCAACAAAGCGAAGGGTGGCTGCTTCGAGGACTCTAAAATAAAAGACATGTTTAAAGTTATTTATATATTTTTTTCTTTGCTACATGATACCATATATGTGGCTTCATATATTTGATGTCTTCAGTTTGCATCTAAAATGGAGAAATTAGTAAAAATTAAGAAAAGACATTAAATGAGAAGGTGTGTCCAAACTTTTTAACTTTTCAGTTTAAATTCAGAGTTTCTCAATAACTCAAATATTTAGCATATCTTCCTCTGTGGCTGTGGGGGATCATTACCTTCCTGATGATGTAATGACCCACATTCAGCCGTCATTCATCCTGTAACTGGCTCTCTCGAGTGTCTTGCTGTCACCATAGCTCTTCCTCTTCATCCTGAAGAGGAAATCCTAGAAGTTAAGCTCCCGTCGTCTTCCTGTCTTTTCCTTGGTGTTGAAAACAGAAGGGCACTTTTCCTCTCATCTTACTTGCTTCCTCACTCCGCTCTTTTTTTCTCCCAGGATAACATGAGAATACTCTGCTTCCTTAATATGTGCTCCTCTATCTACCAGTGGGGTTCTGAAGAGATTTGGGATGACCTCTCTGTGTCCTCTACTCAATGAGAGGAGTGCTTCAAGACTCATAGTTCAAAATAATACCTTTTTTAAAAAAATGACATGACAATGACATAAAGTTGGAAAAAAACTGCTGGTCTTAAACTAAAAAAGATAATAATACAGAGAAGTATATGAGGACCACTTTAAAAAACCAACTAAAGCAGGGAAATTAAAGTGAAAGTGAGCTTATGAGGTTAATAATGTGCTGAACAAAGACACATTTTTGTAGTTTTTCCTCTATACATTGTTTGATTTTTAAAAGAAATAATCAAAATATGATTGAAGTAAAGTGTGATTGAAGTGCAGACTGTCACCTTTTTAGGGGTTTAATAAAAGTTTCCATTAACGGCTCAGCAGTTGCAGCCATTTTTATTCAGTCCCCCATTTACAGAGGCTTAAAAGTAATTGGACAGTTGATTGTCATGCAGTTAAACCCCTTGAATTTAAGCTGAAAGTCTGCAATTCAATCAAATAATAATTAATTATTTGACTTAAAGCCCCAAAGTGACCTTTTTTCTTTTATGTGACAGTGACGACGGACTGTGGACAGAGATCAAGAGCGATCCATTTTGTACTCGCATCTTTCAGTCATATAAATATAAAGCATTACTGTTGAATGGCAACATTTTATAACCATTTTTACAGCTGTCCATGTTATAAATATAACTTTGTTACCTGAGATAAAGCATTTAGTGTTGTAAACTACATGTTCTATCTTGATGGTCATGCAAAGTTTTCTTGGATGGTCAACAGCAGTCAGAGAAGCAGACTTCTTTAAGTTAGTGCTCTGTTTTTCATCCTCTGTTTGTGTCTTTTTCTCCTGTCCTCCAGGCTCAGGCTGTGGCGCTAACAGTAGCCCAGGCCTTCACAGTAGCTTTCGAGCTCTGGCAGGTGTCCAAAGAAGGTAGGCATCACACACTTCTCCATTCAAGTCCTGGAAATGACACGCATATAGGCACCGTCTGTGGAGGGGTTGTTTTATCAGGAGACTGTCTGTGTTTGTCCTTGTTTCACCAAATATGTTGATAT